AATAAATAAGTATCTGATCAAACCTTTCATTTATTAGAATACAAGAATTAAAATTGCTTGGATCAATACACCTTGAATCGTATGAGAAGTCATTTCATGTTTGTTGCGAGAGCTATAGCTTCCTTTATAGTCCCTCATCACCATCAAAGAATGTAGAGATCAAGGCGTGCCACAGCCGACCTCGTCGCGCCAACGGAGGAAGACGACGGCCGCGCCGTAGTGCGACAGCGCCCCGGCCATCACGAACACATGGAATATCTGGTGGCTGTGGCCGGCGAGGTCGAACCAACCGGGCTTCCACCGTTCCGGCACCCTCGTCACGTAGAAGACGGTCCCCGTCAAGTAGGACACGGCCATGGCCGCCTCGTACGCCAACGTCACGTTGCGTCGCGGCTCGCCCCAGTTCACGACGGCCGCGTGCACGGCGGGCACGATGCCGAAGAGGCCCATCCCCGAGAAGAGCAAGGCACGGTAGGCCCGGAACTTGCCGGTGGAAAGATGCGGCGAGAGGAGGGTGAAGACGGTGACGAAGCCCATGGCGGAGATGGCTACCAGGTAGGTGAGCTGCCAATGGGGATCGCACTGGAAGATGTAGTGGATGGGGGGGAAGAAGGAGGTCACGATCATGACGGCGATGCCGACGTAGTCCATGCGGAGGAGGAAGATATTGAGGCGGTGGGAGTGGCAGCAGAGGAGGTGGCAGGAGCTGCTGCAGAGGAGGCAGAACATGGAGCCACCGAGAAACACGAAGAAGGGCCATCGCACTGCCGCCGCCGGCGGCAAAGGAGATGAGGTGGCAGCAGTTTCAGAGGAAATGTACAGCTTAATGAACGCCGCTGCTTCCTGTTCACAACCACATCCATGGAGAAGACATCCAAACCACAACATTACTCCGTAATCAAGGAAACGACACACAGACTTACTCCAAAGAAATTTCCCAGATCGCAGGAGACATTGTCCACCGCACTTGTAGGAATCGACCTACACCCAATTAACAACCTCGTAAGCCAGAGGAAGAATTCAAGAGATTGGATTCATTACCATACTTCGATCGATCAAACATAAATTGAGTATTAAGATATAGTCACCAAGCAAGATGCCCGAGGAGTTGAGCCACTTGTGGCACATGACGACTGAGATGCAGCAAGGTGAGCCCCAAGAACACCAGGAATCCCAACAAATGTCTGTACCCACAACACCCACAAAGATCTAAGCGTGGCGTTGAAGGCAGAAAGATGATGTCAGAAAAGGGAGCGTTGCACATACGTCCAGATGTTGACGGTCTCGTTGTGCCAAGAGAAGAAGCTGAGCAGTGCGTTTTTGATCGGCCACTCCGCCCTGTAGTAATCCCGTATGAACTCGTTCTCCTTCATGTACTCCGGCAGCTCCTCGTACCTCAACAGCTTGTATTCCTTCTCTTGCTTCCTCCGACCCTTTCCCTTCCTCCTCTTCCCCTCTAGCTTTTCCTCCATGACCACATGTTGGTCCTCGGAATCCATCACTCCTCCCTTCTGCTGCTGCTGCTGCTGCTGCCTCCTGTCTGAGGGAGCTATAAGAGGGAGGGCCAGTTCACAGGTTTAGAGACACAGAAATTAGAGCTGGTGATGGGCCTGAGATTGCTGTTATTACGTAATTAAATGTAGCTGAGCTACCAACCATCCACCTCATCTGTCGCATTTATAATATCTGCTCCACGTACTGTCTGTTGACGACGACTTGGATTTCGTTCTACTCCACACGCAAAGAACTCGAGGACCATATGTTGATATGCATATCAACTACCTCATGGATGGCAATGATTTATCCTCTCTTCTCGTCATCAAACTTCCATCACAGAACGTAGTTGAGCACAGTTGGAACTAAATCAGCATATTTGCTGCTGCTGCTTCTTCTTTACTATATTAAACCCATCATCCAAATTCCACCCAGGATTGCAGGTCGCAGCAGTTGCATGTGTAAGCAGAGATTGAAAAGAGAAGATAGACATCAAAAGAGTCGAATGACATATATCGAGCTTGATCGAGCCTAAGTTTTTGAGTTGAATTGATGTTTGACCCTTTGATAGATTCAGAAAAAGCCTCAAAGCTAACACCAACATATTAGCTTTGAGGAGAGATTAATTGAGGAGAAGAAAGAGACGCAAAGAACCGTAAGTCAGAACTGATCAACAAAGAGTGTCTTCCAAGTCTCCGTCGTGCTTATTGTGTTCTCAGATGCAGGTGAGGGCAGTTGGAAGCCGAAAGAAAGAGACGACCGACACGGATAGCCAACCCTCAACGCCATGCATTTATGCTTGGAATGTGTGTAGGTTAGAATGATGAGCTCAAAGGAGGGAGGTTTTGGTTCTGCATCACAAGTGCTTCTACTGTCCTCGACCTCTAAGATCATGACGAGGGGATGGTTCCAGGAATCGTGCGTTCGGTGGACCTTTGTTGACTCGTGAATCATGCCAACAACTAGAAGGAAGGCATGGCTTTTTGACTTGCCAACAGTCAGTCTCCTTGCACACAACTATCTATGGTTTGTTTATCTGATGCAATTAAATGGATCTAATTTGATCTATTATTCGAGTATTATCTAGACTTAGATCTTTTAGTTCACGCTAAGAGTAAGTAGAATTGTATTATTTCGTCAACAAAATTCTCTTATACAAGATAGAAACGAAACAATGGAGACAGCTTCAACATGGCCACAAATCTCAGCTCCTTTTTCTCTCAAATAAGGCATGAGCAGCATTAACAATGAAACGATCATATTTAGAGCCATCCCAATCTATTCGAGGTGCTAGTCTTGATGGTGATTTGATGTATCTCCTTCTCCGATTAAGATTCATACTAATCCACACGAAATATTCATGTGGGAGCAGTGAAGATAGAAAAATTATCATTAAGAGACTGATCTCGATAAGAATTGAAAGAGTTAGGTTACATATATTAGATTAGATTTGACCCACAACTTCATAATTGAAGTCGACAGCTATCTCACCTGTGCAATAATATGCTAATCAATCCGATTGTCTTACTACAACTGCATATAAGGGGGAGAAATATCTATCGATATATTTGATTATTTATTGATTGTTTGACCGCATTGAATAGCAGCTATACATTAAGATTTTATGTTACAAAAGTTAATATTCTTTTGTGTTGTGCCGTGCAGAATTATGATATCAAGCAATGTTTGATTGGGAAATCTTAATCAAACTGGAAGATTCATACCTTTAGAGTCTCATCCTAATTCAGAAATCGTTCATTAATTGTTTATTGAATTCAGATTGATTTTAATTGGAAAGCTTCTTAAAGCAGGATACTGAAGCTCAAGTTCAACAAATTGCACTCGTTGACTTAATGAATCATCAGCAAAGACTAAGACTGAGTCACCAAAAAGCCATGATGTTCCATGTTGGACATACTTCCCATGCAAATTTAGTTTCAGACTGTGTTGTCAAACTTCAAAATCATATAATCTAAAGAAGCACAGGCATTGACATGGGACTGATAGGGAAGCAGCATATGAGATGGTAGATTAAGTAATAAACAAACTCTCGAGTAGGAAAGAGCTACCCGTAGACGGAGTCAAAGGATTCATCACGACGTGGAGCCACCACTGGGCTACGCCTCATATGCACTATGCTAGGGTTTGATCTGGGTTATGTTGGGGCTTGACGAGGACGTCAAGCCTTTGAGTGGGGGTGGGTCTGATAAGTGTACTATTATCAACTTCAGCTTAAGCATTTTGATCAGTGGTTTAGACTAAACGAAGTTGATAGGCCAGTTAGCCCATCAGGCCCAGGTCGTGATATTTGGTATCAGAACCGACCTAGCATTTGGGCATGGTGAGGGGGCTCGAGTAGGAAAGGGCTACCCGTAGACGGAGTCAGAGGACTCGTCACGGCATGGAGCCACCACTGGGCTACGCCTCACATGCACTATGCTAGGGTTTGATCTGGGTTAT